CYSRAAWTTYTTTCTGGCGATCCATTTATTAATAATYGCTTTAGATTTCCAAATTACACTGTAACGATGATAATTCCTTACACAATTAAACAGRGCAGCTGCCTATGTCAAATGACATCGAGCAATCTTGTGTTTTCAGGTCTTGGAGACTAYGTACCAGGACATGTGCATCACACRTCCTTCTTTGCAATCTATGTKCTGGTGGGGATCGTTTTGCTTGTCATGTTTTTTGGTGCAGTTGAAGAGTTTATCACTGGTTGGTGTCAAAAAGTGAAAGACAAGCTCAATGTCACAGACTAGACAACGATGCATTGCAACGACTATCGTATTCTCTAGTATCTGAATGTCACATCATTACATCGCGACATCGAAGTTGTGATGAAGTTTCAAACTAAATCCGCAAGCGAATTTCAAAACTTATGTGGTCGCTATACAAGAGTTGAAACATTTTAACAACGTTTACGAAACTAAATAATAGTTTAACTAGTATACAAATTAAAATTAAAATAAACATTTTCTAGAACAGACATGGATTGCATACACTTGTTTTAACATTCGTCGATTCTTTTGCGTAGATGTTTCTCCCCCTTCCCCCTCCCCCCAGGTAGTGGGCATCACCATTTACAAAAGGCCCCCTGGTACCTTAATGATGATATTATTTTATCTGCTTTTTTTTCYAAGTTGATTCTTGGCTTGTTGGTTTGCCAATGCTCGTGTGTCTTTGGGATGAATTCCAGCCTTCTTGGCTTCTAATGCTTTCATGGACGATATCTTTCTCTCTTCTCTACGTTTAGCTCTTTGTTCTCGCATCTTCTTTCTATATTCTTCTATAATTTTTGGCATCTTTCTCATATTTTCTTCTATTTGTGCCAATCTGTTACAAGTAATCATAGTTGTATTTATTAGAATCCCTTCAAGAATGACGGATGGCATGAGTCTCCACTTCTCCACATAATGACATCAGTCATTTGAATGCAAGACTGAGAGGGGTACATTGTGTTGAAATGATT